AGGATGCAGAGATCATCACTGTTCTCCCCAGCTGCTGAGGGATGAAGCAGTTGACAGCTGTTGGAATACGGAGTGTTACTGCAGATAGAAATGAGCAAAGCACTCATGTAGAAGTAATCTTGTTAGCCATTCAGAAAATATAAATACTGTCCTATGAAGTGAAGTCTTGCCAATGGTGTTTATTTGCTATCCTTGTCTTTCATCAATATACTTGTCTATGAATTGATGCATTTCTTAGTCTATTCTACTGCTTATTACTATGGGAATAATCATCTTTATGAGCAACATGAGCTAAGTGGAAGTTTTGATCTTTTCCATGTGAGGACTCACAATGACCCTATTCCTATAGAAGATAATGGATTTTGAAAGATCCACTGTGGGTTTTTTTCCTATTTTGAAAAATCAATGACACCTATAGCAGACTGCATCTGAACACTCTGAGTCTCCCTCCTCCCAGAAGATTATTCTGCCATTCCCAGTCACCATACTTCCATGCTCACTATACAGTGCCTCTCTCATACACATGTCTCACATTCAGTACTTGCCCAGTGTTCTGCTTATTTTACACAATTTAAATCTAAAATATGTTCTTTAAACTACTGCAGCTTTACATTCTGGATATTTACTTAGTAAGTATGCTTATGCCGCCAATATTTCAAGTGATAATTCACCAGTGTACCACAGCTGTTTTGTGTTGCACTGGCAATACAAAGCAGCTGTAAACCAAGTTTAACCAGATAAGTACTTCAGCTTCTTCAGGCTGCTCAGAAGTGATATTAAATAAGTGGGATAAAGAAGTAGCCATTACCATAAGCTTTGGGTAACTGCTCACTATCCTTCAAATGCCAGACAAACCTAAATGATCATTGTAGAGGGATAAGAGATACTACAACTACAATGCATGGACTACTTGTTACTTAGTTACGAAAGTGCTGGAGGAAAAAAAAAAAAGAAAAGCAAGACAGTCTTTTGCCGAAGACAACAGTTTTCCACTGGAAACATTCTGAATTTTAGCAGTTTCTGTGTTCTAAGTTCAGTTTTATCTCTGATCAGACGGGCAAATATCTGGAAATTTGCTGAGAAAACATTAGTTCATCTGTGTTATTTTGAAAACACTGAAATATTTTATACTTTGCAACATAAGTATTTACTTCTATCATTTAAAAATATCTCAGTATTAAATGTACAAAATACAATGTATTTTGTTGGTATCTGTGAAACGGTATACTTCATGGCCTTACTATAAAGTTTACAGTTAAAACAAATGCATTTAATATATTGAACTGGAGTTTTTCAGCACTTGACAGTGTAAAATACTACTACATTAAAGAAATGAAGTAAGAAATATAGTTCATTTCAGCTCTTTCTCAGCAACAAAAGTTGCCTTCATTGATACATTTCTCTGATGTGTAATACTGCCAATTAAACTGTAGGTAGAAATCATCAGTTGTGTCAAAGTCTTCTGATCGCCTTTATGGTAAGTGGATGGTCTTTAGCTCCTAAATGCAGCGTTGTCCATCATTCACATGAGTCTGTATAAATCTTAGAAAGCACTTTTGATTTTCATGGATGAATTTACATCTGTTTGAAAATTTGACTTCAAACACAGGCTTAACGTTTTCAAACTGCTAATGAATCAATCATAGGAGGGAAAAAAAAACAGCTCTGCACTATGTCATCACAAATTGTTCACAGTAATAATTACAATAATATTTCACTTTCTCTTTTAACAGAACGGGGACTCTTTGCAAAGAAGTGCTAAAAATTTACTGCCCAGCATTGCATGATGATCACATATCTCAAACATTAGTTAAGGAACTTGGCAGGAAGGCTATGTAAATCACCTCCTTTTGTTTTTAGTGCATCTGCCACATGTCGGAGAAGTAGTGGAAAGATTAGTTGTTCATGCTGAGAAATCATTAAGTGGATACAATCAAAAAACTAGAACACAAGTCCTGACAAATGTAGTAGCATAGTCCAGTGAAAAATGAAATCGTTTACATTGAATAGAAATTTATTCTAATTATTTGCATACACAGAAATGCCTCTTCTCAAGATTTTTTAATAAAAAGAAAACCCTACAAATAGACCCTTCGGCTTTATTTGCACTGCTTATGGAATAAGGAGCTACTCATCTTGGTTAAAAAGTCTGAGTCTGGCCTTAAGCCAGCGTGGGCCAGATTCTGCCATCCTTACCAGAGTTAAATAGTACCTTAAGCTGGGCCTGATTATGAAACGATTACTCATGGTGAGCAACTCTTTGCATGAATAGGGCCATTGTGAATAAACTTCTACAAGTGATTCACAATTTGGTCTACGTGAGTAGTCTTGCTCACGTCAATGCATCTACACATGGAGTAAAGCAGTACTAAATAAAAGTGGCAGAATGTGACCCTGTTGTAGTACTTGACATCTAACATGAAGATGCTTTTTCATTAGCTAAATGAAATGCTGCAGCCAACAGACTATCATTCATTCTTTAAGACAAGGCTGATTCAAGAGCATGACAAGCTTAATGCAGGTCTGCAACTTATCACACCTCAGGTTTAATGAAGGGTTTAATACCTGTTTGCCGAATGCATAGTTATGCTAGCAACATGTAACAAATAATTTCCAATGCTTAAACTGAGGAAGAAAATTTAATTAGAACTGTATCCCTTTCATTTAATTAAAATCAGCTGGAAGATGACATAGTATTTTATTTTTCCATTCAATTTTGGAAGTTTCAAGCATCTAAAAATGCTCTAATGTTTTGAAAAACAACGTTTATTTTCCCCAAACAGTCTGTCACTGTAATAAATTCCTAGAAATTGTTTAATTTTATTCTTTACATAAAATACCCTGTAAAAATGAACTTGCTGGACTCCACAAGAAAATAATTACAAATTCTGCTTTCAAAATAAATGAATAAAACTAAAAGACAGACAACAAGGAAAACAATGGCTAATTTTGCCAGCTTTTGCTTCTTAGTCCAGTAATCATAACCTAGTAAAGATTATCTGAAAATCAGTTTGACATGTTCTATATATTGTACCTTAAAAAAGGATTATGAGGAAACTGAAGAAAAAAAAAATGGAAAAACTTGCATTTCCACTACTTGTGTATCTGGCATAAGTGTCTATATAAAACTAGCATCTTTACATGTGCTAATAAAATTCTTTTTTATTTAAGTCATTAGAATCATTTTACTTCTGTCTAAGCAGATCATAAAAAAAGGAAATGATAAGTTCTAGCCAGAATACTCTTTCACAGTTACTCAGCCCAAAGTTGAAGTTCATTTTCAGAAGAAGAGTAGAATCAGGAAACCACGAATTCAAGCGTATGTATGTCTCTTTCAATAGTTTTTCTAAGAATTTACTGTAAAATACCCATTTACAACTGATCCTAATGGTTTCAAATTTAAGTCTAATTGTTCCACTGAAAGATTACAGAACAGACCCATCTCCTATTTTTGTTTTCAAGTTATGCCTCATGAGTAGGAGCAGAGTACAAGCTGGGAGTTTCTGAGAGTGTGTTTTAACGAGTACTGGTAGTTTTGCTGTTGCTTTGACAAAATGTGCTCCCCTGATCTTCCCTTCTCCCCTCACCATGCTCTTTTTCTAACTAATGTCCAGAGAGAAAAGCAAGAAGGAGAAGGGGGCTACTCAGAGACCTGTATCCTGTTTAATCACAGCCGTGTGAGTCCTACTTTATTTCAATTAATTTACTTTGCCTTTATGAACCTGAGAGACTGACTGTTGCTTTCAAAGAGGCTGACATTTCACTCATCTGAAGGAGCCTGGAATGTGACAGGGGAAAGGGAGGAGGAGTAAATCAAAGTAGATAGCAGTTCTCCAGATGTAAAGTATTTTTCTTCTCCTCTATTTTTTTTTCCACCAGAAATGTCAGAAAGTCTGCTGACATTTTAATTCCTTTGTGATAGGCTGGGAGCTGAGAGCCAAATCCTGCTGCCACTGCAGTCGAAAAGATTTTTCCTATGGACTTTAAAGGAGAAAAAAAGTCTTACACTCTGAAAAAAAATAAATAAATAAGCAACGTATCAACAAACTGTAAAACTAAATGAAATGTACTGCTATAACATCTCGAGGTCAGCCATGTACTGAAATTGGAAAGACTTGTCGGACTTTTTCCTTTTCAATTTGGCCACAGCATAGCAAAAACAATAAGAATGGAGCAGAAGTGGGATTTTGCTGTTGCTGTTTTGAAAGTTTCAAGACATTCTATCTGAAACCTTAAATATTTCGTTTAAACTCTTGTCAGTTTACACAATCTGTGCACTTATTTGAAACTCTGTTAAACACTGATTCTGCTTTTAGTGATACCTTTATTAAAAATCTCGTAATCTGTAATAGGAATACACTCAAATTCATAAAATGAAGGACTACCCTCTATTCTCGTTATGTTAGTTGTGCATTGCTACAACTCCAGTGAGCTCTACATACATTTAGAAAAGCAGCAAGCTGGCTCAGAGCCGCAGCACAGTACTGAGAAATTTAGGTCTACAAATTCCACCTACAACATAAGTGATGATATATTTCCTTCTCTGCATCATGTTCTTAGAGATTTACATCATGGTTCTAATATTTGAAATGTATTTTCCTTTACATAGTTCTTCCATTATGAAGTATTAATTTGAAAAACATTAATTTTGTGTACAGAATTGCTAAGAACCAGTGGTGTAGACATATTTGCTTAATTGGTTTATTCTTTTTTGCAGGTTCTATAATCATTTTTCATCAACTTGTACAACAAAACATGTTTCTATATGAAAACCAAAACAAAGAGGGCTTGTTGAACTTGATGCATGGTAAATCTATATGGTTTACTCTTAAGTTTTATTGTTAAATATGATATTGCATTTTTGTAAGCAGATGTCACGTATATTGTGATCTTTAGCATTCCACACACAGCGGCTTATTGTTGTGTCCTTTAAATATGGAAAATAAAAATGCTTTCAGTTTACTATTTAAAAAAGGATATGAAGAAAGGGTACAGCTATATTACATAGCCCAGGAAATATTGGCAGCATGCTCTTTGGCTTTCATCCGTAGAACTGCAATGCTGGAAGATCTCCTTTCAAATTCCGGCTTGGTTTCAAAAGCATGTCCATTGGTTGCCCCAGAAAGTAAAGAGTCAGTGAAAAAATTATTGAGGGGCACATGGCTGAACTGATTCTGGTGGTTTGAAAAGCCTGTGTAGCCAGAATCTGTCCGGGGTGAATGGGAATAAGGTGTCATACAGGAGGAAGTATCTCGTGGTATCATGCAGGAAGTAACCACAGAACCACTAGCCGTATTCCCCGCCCACAGATTGTTCTGAATCTGGAACACATAAAATGAATAACATTAAATATAGATATTTCATCTTTTGTTTTCTGCACTACTTGATTTCACTTGATACATCCATAATTAGTTTCTCCTCAGAAATATTTACCAAATAAAATCCTAAGAAACCTATGAATTAATCCATAAAATACAGACATGGTTGATAATACATCCAAGAGTTTTTCCTGAAGTTCTTTCAAAGATAGTTTTAAGATAAAAAATTATTTTTGTGCTTGTTTTTTTTTAATATGAAATTACACTTGAGGGTGTTTCTTTTTCAGCTTGCAGACTGAACAAATTGTGTTGTATGTCCCTGGAAAACATTGCGTGACAGACTAGGAGACAAACTTTGTGGTTACCAGTGAGGTCTGCTGAAGATCTGGAGTAACCATATATTTAAGCTTTGATGTGTAATGTTTTCTATATTCGGCAGGCACTTAAAACTTCATTCTGAGCTTCACGCCTTCTTCTATCATCTATGAATAGACACTACACATAGGTATTTTTTCACATATTTATTACTAGATTAACATATTTTGCAATTACTCTTTGGTTAGCACCATAAAGTGAATTCCCCCTTCACACTTAATTTTATTTTCATGTTGCAAATGAATTTGGGCTTTAATGAATGTAAGTTATGCTTGTAGCTGATTTTTTTTTTTTTACTATCAGATTTGAGACCAGTAGAAGTAAAGAATAATGAGAGTCACAGACAGTGAAAAAATCTTCCAACTCAGCACTCTTTTTCCCATTATCCTAATACTTTGCAACAGCACATATCCCCCAAACCACCACCAAGTTAAAGATAAATTATGGCTCACTGAACTCATCTAGTTGAGATATACTGCAGATAGAAAGGATTAGATAATTACAGTCTTATTTTATAAGTTATATGTTGAACAGTTGTATTAGCAGATGCTATAGGAGCTGACAAACTAATTTGGACTCTGGTAATTCTGGCAGTAGAAAAGAACCAGTAACTTCTCTATCTTGGTTTCCTGCAGAAAAGTAGGGAAAAGGCATGGTAGCAAATCCTTGGTTCCCAAACTCTTGGTCTTCTCAGTCTCCCTGTTTACACATACAGGCATATGCACATTGGCACACCCCCTCACTTGAATGCAGATTACCTTTCCACACAGACACATACACACAACTATTTGGGCACACCTCAGGCATCTTCTGCATATCTTAGGTGATCTGCTGAGAGGTAATGAAGTGAATAAGGTGCCTGAGGGAGCTGATCAAGGATTTTTCCTCCTTCCTGTGGACTTCTTGCTATCTACAGGAGGAAAGAGACTCTAGTGAGAGTTTCAGAGCTCTTCATAGAATCATAGAATATCTCAAGTTGGATGGATCCACAAGGATCATTGAGTTCAACCTCTGGATCCACACAGAACCACCCAAAACCAAACCCTATGTCTAAGAGCGTTGTACAAATACTCCTTGAACTCCAGCATTTTGGAGCTGTGACCACTGCCGTGGGGATCCTGTTCTATGCCCACTATCCTTCAGAGAAGGGCTTTTTCCTAACACCCAACCTGACCCTTCCCTGATGCAGTTCCATGCCACTGCCTCAGGTCTTGTTGCTGTCACAGAGGAGCTGTAGGCCACTGTGAAGCCTCCCCTTATCTTTCTCTGCTCTGAGCTGGACAAAACAGTTCTCATCCTCACCTCCTATTTTCAGCAGTTTATAAATTCTTCTCAAACATCAGCTCATGAGAGACCCTCCACCGTTTGACTTGATTTTCAGCTTCCTTATTACCCTACGCCTGAGTCTGTTTTCACTTATAATCAGAAAAAAAATGTAGTCCTCATGGAACAAATGTTTTAATTGGGGGATTCAAGTATGTATCTTAGTAAGACCCATTTGAACCATTGCCTTGGTTAATAAAGTTTGCTGCATTCAATCATACACAATAATCCTGAAGGCACCAGTGTCTCTCTTATAGCTCAGTATTCAGAGATTACTGAGTATCCTTTTGCCCGGAAGGTTATTCAGATCCTTTGCAGAATCTGAGAATTTTGATTCTGACAGTAAGGAAATAAAGGACCCTGAAAGAGTTGGTAAGTATGATTTTTAAGTTTATGGCAACTGAAAAGTCATTCAGGACTTGCTGCTTATTATTGCTTGCAAACTTATTTTGAAGGAGAGATTTTGGAGCCACACAGCATGCGATGAGTACATAAAGAGTAGTAAAGAAGATAGCAGTTGACAACCTATAAAATCCAGAGAATATCTTTTCCTTTTCTTGAAAGTGCAAACTGCACACATTCTGTTTCTATCATGAACTCAGAAAACCAGAAACTCTGCCATCTCTACAGTCTTGCCTTTCTTTTATATAGGAATAGTAAAATCTTTTAATTGCAGTTTGTTTGTTTGTTTGTTTGTTTGTTTGTTTTTCATGACTACATGTGCATTAATTGCAGCAGCAAATAAAAACAAATTAAGATTATTTCCCTTTGTTCCTAGAGAACGAGAACATTCCCATATCCATGCTATTTCACTCCAGTTGGTTTTGTTGTTATTTCTCTACTAATTTGGAAAACAGTCAAGGCAGTTTAAAAAAATCCAGGAAACAAATGATATTTCATGCAGATGCAAACATAACACCATTCTTTTTGATGGTGTTTCCAGGCCAAATTGTTAATCTCAAAGAATTCTCAACAGGATGAATTTGCCTAGAGATAGACAAATGCATCCATGTAGTTTCTAATATGGGAGCTAATTCTGAGGAAGCTCCTCATCTCTCTGTGTGGGACAAAGTCTCATTTATTTGACCTACACATATTTCTTTTTAAGAAACCCCATACTAAATGCTACAGATGGTCAGACTGCACAGATGTAATTATGGGAATAGTTTTCCAAAAATAAATAAATATATATATGTTTAAATAGGAGCATATACAAATTTGCCTTTAATATGGTCATTATGGGAAGACTTCAAAAGATCCAATGGTCCAGTTTGAAAGTGTCCAGTAACCTATGTGGTCTGGAAGTATCAAAAAAACACTCTTTCCTTCTATTTTTCTATTAGTTTGATTTTCAGTAAATTATGTTTAGCACCACTCTTTTTTCTGATATTTTTATCCTGGACAATCTCTTCCAATTTAACTTCAGTGTGATTGCACAGGTGTAAATGAGAAAAGTATTCAGCCACAAATTTTAGAATAAATAAATGTTTTGTTAAAGAAGCACTTGAACAAGCTATTCATTGCTAAAATTTTCAAAGTATCACCCTAGGTGTCTTCATGAGAGGAAGGAATTCAAATTAGTAAACTGAACTTCAGAATTGCTTTAAGATGCTAGAAGAGCTTTACATCTTCTTTCAAGAGACAGTTATGTCTTTCAGAAGTATATTTTAGTCATATCTAATTTCTGCTCATTTAGTTTGTTGAATGACTTCCCTTTTGATACTAGATGTTAATTTCTCAGCAAGGATTTACACACATAAATTTCTTACAGGGAAATCTAGTGCATAAGATATTCCTGTATTAAAAAAAATGCAGTAATGTTTTACAATAAGTCAAAATTATCAGGCCTTCTTCTGGTATGTTGGAAGGAAAAGGGACATTATGTACATGAATTTAAAGAAAATATTTTTCCTCTTAAGCTCTTGTGTGATCCATGAACTATATAAAAGGCAATTCAGAGACTGTGAATGAGCCCATACATGCAGTCCATCTCTGGTTTCTGTTAACATCACAAATAGCTTGAGCTTTGCTCTTGTGGTTACCATGAAATTACCAGATCCCTTCAATATATTTACCTACTGTATATTTTATACACACACGCGCGCGCGCACACCCTCCCAATAGGGGAAAAGAAAAATAGAATTGCATAGCTGTGACAAGAATATAACTGCAGAGTTATGGCTGTTAACATGATTATGATGTTACTTCCTAAACCTATGACCTTCTGCTTGACAATGTAGAAGAAAATAAGCTGAGGTAATAGGTCATCCTTTTTGGTCTGCTTTTATTTTTTTCAGTAAAAATACCAGATTCCTAGAGATTCAGACTTCTTGTATCAGACCTTGGGAAATTGTGTAAACTCATTTTTCCAAAATTTCTGAGGTTTGCTATCTTTTATTCAGTTTTGAAGCACTTTAAAGTTTTTTTTTCTTTTATTGGAGCTAGAGGCCTATCCAGACCAGAGACACACAAATACAAGCACATGCTTCTTCCTTTTGAGTGATAAGTGTTTTAGAGCTCCACATGAATAAACAAATCTCCTTTAAGATATTTAGATATGAACTTATTATATTATGCAATACATACTATGTAATTCTATTATAATAAATATAATTTGTAGTTATTAGAGTAGTTAGACAAATTGTCTTTATTTTTACAGTGTTCCTTTACATTGCAAGGGGGACAAAGTGACACTAACTGAGCAGTTAAGCACTAACCTAACTATAAAAAACATACAATTGTTGAAAGACTGAATTGCAAACAATATGTCACTCCTTTCTTCATGTGAAGCAACAACCCTTGCACTGCAAGAAAATGTGCAACCTGGGCTTGCACAAGTGGCTGCCTTAAGCAGATAAAACAAATTAAAATACAATTGCTGTTAAACTGCTTAAAACAACTAGTTTACAGTGTATAATCTGTAGGCTGTTCCTAGTCCATCAGCGCAAATAATTTGGCCACCTTCCATTTATCACCACAATATTTTTCCTGAGGCCCTTTCAGGAACATCAAAAGTATGGGTAGAGAAGCCTGTGCTTGCTAAGTTTGCAAAATCATTGATTCATAGAAGAATTTAAGCAGAAAATTATTATTTCTCCAAATATCTGGCCGCAGCTAACTCTGAATTTCTATCAGGTTACTCAAGCTCTATTGAGTCAAGTTTTGAATACCTCTAGGTATTCAAATTCAATAACGACTATGCTCAACTAGTTCCAAGGTTTTACTGCTCTCACAGTATTTTTCCTTTAGATCTATCAGAATACTTCATGGTGTAGTCTATTATTCTTACTGTACTAGAGCAGATA